GGTTAAGACAGAATGGTGTCATGATCCTTGTAACAAATAGTTCAATGAAAATGTTATCCACAGATGAGAATTCTTTGGGCCACTTTTTCTAACTGGAAATGTTATTTTATTATATCACCGTTTATTAAATATTCTTAAAATATATATTTTTTAAAATTACAAACTATTGTCTGTCGAATGCTACCTATGCGCTATTCCGTTATCAGTGATATGGTGCTCTGGTCTTCCACTTCCTCCATCCAGTCATCCCAACACATGAACATACAAGCACTGCTCCAAGAATACTAGTCCAACTCGTCTCTTCGTGTAACAACACTGTTTGATAGAAGAATGCCATAACGATATCTATGGTCCTGCCAATGGATACTGTACTAGCTTCCTCCAACTTTAGTGCAGCTGTTAAGAGTAACTGACCACATGTATTCAATAGTCCCACCATGACAATAAGCCAACCTTCTCTCTCACAAGCAGGTAATGACCAATCGCTTATTATAGTTAAAATAACAGTATTGACGATAACGAGTGATCCGGAGAAAGTAAGGTTTATTATACAGTAGTGAGTGTTCTGTAATTTCCTCATGGCGATATAAGTAAAAGCAGAGGTAAGACTACCACAGAGAGCCATAACAGAACCACCTACCCGGTCAAAGGAGCGAACGTCTTCTTTGTTATAACCAAAGATGAAAGTTGGTTTGGCAATCATGACCACTCCAACTACTGTAACGACCACTGATACTATCTGAAACAAGCCACACGGTTCTTTTAGCAGTATACATGCCAAAAAACTCACGAACACAGGTGCACTGAAAGCAATGGTGGAAGCATCAGCCAAAGGAATAAGACTAAAGGAATAAAAGATAAGATTGGCGTAAAGCACTCCCGTGATTCCTCGGATTATAAGAAACCAACGTTCTTCGGGAACTTCAAAAAAATGGTGACCAGAATAAATACTGATAGAAATGAAAATAAAAGTCTGCAACAGACATTCACAAGCAAGGATTTCCATGGGATTCAATGTTGGTAGAAGTTTAACAACCAGTGAACAACTAGAAAAACAAACACCCGAACCAAGAGCACAGAGTATTCCAAGTACTGGAAGCTGTAGGAATCTATTCCAAAGGACAGTCGACTTGTTGAAGGGAAGTAAAGGGGTGGTCTTCGACATCTTGTATCTTGTTATCTTGACAATCTTTTATCCTTAATAGTCGTGGAAAAATTCATTTCTGTGCGAGAAAAAAAGAAAAACAGTCTAGATTAGAAGCGGTTTTTCTTTAGCTGCTTTTTGTTTTTCTCCCATCAAAGCTTAAACAATTTTATAAAAACAACAACAC